GAAAGACACCGATATATTGGAATTGAAGCTAAATAAAGTTAAGAGGCATTGAGCTACCTTCGTGACTTTCAAAATCTACAAAATGGAAGTGCTTATTTATCTCACAGTTTCTTGAGGGGGATTGAATAAATTTACCAAAGGACCCATCATACATTCAGTGCCAAGCCCAGTTAAGTGCTCATAGCTCCCCTGCAGAGCAGATGTACACTGAGTAAGGCCGATGTCCTAGTGAGTGTAGTATTCTGAGTGGTGGGTTCAAGGATTCAGGAGAACAAGGTTGCTCTTACTGTGAATGCGTTCACTGGCCCTCATTTACCGGGGATAAGTCTTAAAAGCTTTGAATGAGATTTGGCTTAACTATATTCTCAGTATGTGATTCTCTACGACCCAACAGTAGAGGGCTCCCTGGTTTTAATTTTGTTCCTTCATCCCATTTTATGACATTCTCCCCACGCAAGGGCCCACTCTTGTGTTTGACATGCCTATATTCTGGGAGAATCACAGAGTGCTTTTAACGTGGTATTAATGCACGTGATACTGTGCTGTGGCTCGTTTCAGTTCCGTTTTCTCATTCATTTTTATGCAGCCTCTTGTGCGCCTGGCTTGGTCCTGATTGCTGCTTGATAGTACCTGAAGCCAATGCCTTGCTTGTCTCTGGCTCCAAATTGCCGCATCAGCTCACACTGTCACTGTGTGCCTTATTTATATACTAGCCTTTCATTTGTCTATATTTTTACCTTTGGAGGAATGGGAGGGAAGGAGATCTGACCAAAAAAATACTAGTACTGCCTCCATTTATTTCATTGGCTACTTCTTCCAGGCTTCTAGAAATATCCTCTTAGTTCTGATTTGGGGTTTGTGGAACAATCCACTGTTTTAACTCTACCCACATCATAATTTAGTATTAATAAAATTCGGTGTATTTGCCTTTCCAGAGTAGAACTCTTTTTTCCAGGGGACAGCAAAGAAAAAGATTTCATGCACTACCTTATAGTTAGTTACGTGAACAAGACAAGAAACATGACAAACCGACTTGTTATTTTAGGGGAACCTTTCCCTCCTTGGAAGAGAAGTGTTTGGTATTTTGCTTGTCATTCTCTCCTTCGATGTGTGTTTTCTGTCAGTTCTCCCTGTTTTGGTCTTTTAACAGCTACGTGGTCTGCGTGGTACCGTACGTCATCACACTGGAGAAGAGAACACACATGTGTGAAGAGAACCCACCAAACAAAGCTGCCAGCAGAAGCCGAGAACGCTTGTCTTCAGTGGCACGCTTCATAGCTTTGTTTCTCTACTTACAGTGTAGCGTTGACACAGTGCTTTTCTCTCTCCATATTTTTACTTTCCACATTTTCTGTTTAGAAGAGCGAATTCAATCTGCATTGATTATTCCCTCACCGCCTGTTGCCTTTGAGACCATTGTCTACGCTGAAAGTAGGTACCTGAGTAATCACATTAAGGTTTGCTTCAGCACTGCCAAGTCAGTGCTGTCTGCTGCTGCACTTGTCAGTGACCCGAGTGGAGTCTCCTCTGGGGAGTCATCGCAGGACCAGATGGCCTGGGCAAGCTGGTTTATCTGTCTTTAGCCTGAGACATCAAGACTGGTATCTGTCCCCTCCCTGTGGGTGTTATAGAAGCCCCAGGGGCTTTGGTGATTGTTCTTACTGTCAGCTGCAGACTAGGAGCTGTGTTGATGTATTCTTTCTGCTTTGTGTAATATGATTTTGCATTCTCCTAAGTGTAAAGTTCCATTTTATGATTCTCCACTGGGAGGTGTAGCTGAAGTTCCTACTTTACAGATAAGGAAATAGACTCAGGGAAGTTCATTAACTCTTTTAGGAAGACACAGAAGGAAGCCAGAGATGATTTCTGGTCAAATGTTAACACTCCAACATATACCGTGTGGTGTTCTCAGCACCCGCCCCGTGAACTAAGGAGCACGCAGAGGGAGAAGCTGGGGCCATAAAGATTTACCCAGTCCATTCCATTTGCAGCAGCTGTGAAAAAGGATCTCGTTCTAAATCTAGGTAGACATACAGTTCACTGTTTCACACATGAAACATAAAATCACCTTTTCTTTTTTTTTGTTTTTTTTTTTTTTTGCCTGGAATGTGAATGAGTTTTACCCTCAACCAATTTTGGATATTTGCGGATTTTTTTTTTTAAAGATTTTTCTTTTACCATAGGGCATGTGTGCTCAGCTGAAAGAGACAGAGAGAAAGCGAGCTCCCTGGGGTGATGGCCATGCCACATTCCCTGCTCCCCTGTTGTCCTTTAGGAATTGTGGGCATGCATGCACACATATCTGGTGTGATTTTCAAGACACCAGGTCTCAAACAGAAACCATGTTCAGCTGTGTGGGAATCCAGCACCATAACCACATGCATAATGCTGCCCCCCACTTGTGGATTCTTAATTAAAACTGTTTTCTTTCACCTTAATTATCATTTTTAAGTTCTGTTAAGGTCTTGTTAGGACATTATTAATCTGGAATTCACAGTAAGTCACCTGTGAGGGTCCAGGTCAGAGACCTCCAGTCTGCAGGTATTTTTGCAAGAGAATTGCTGGCAGTCCTAGAGAAATTTGTAAGCGCTTTGAAGAATACATGTCATTTAATTCAGACTCATTTGCAATTGGTATTTATGACACAAAAATTGATGTAGAGTAAGAAGATTTGATAGTTTGTTAATGCTGCAAACTTTTAAATGTTAGAATAATAATGTATTGTTTGTGGGGCACACTGTTGTTCCCCTAATGTATTCTCTCCTTCCTATGCACATGGCTTCCCAGCCAGAGAGGATGTTGCCTAGCCTCCCCTCCAGCACGGTGTGGTCATGCGAGAACTGGGGCCAGTAGCTGTGCATAGAAGTGACGGATGCGGCTTAACTGCAGGCCATCTCCAACTCGAAGATAAGCTGTTTTGTTTGTTTATTTGTTTTTCCTTTTGCCATAGGACATGTGTGTTGGCTGGAGACAGGGAAAGTGAGAAATTGCCCCGCAGGGTGGATGACTACACTGCAGTCCCTTCTCCATTGGGATTTTGGGCATACACACACACACCTGGCATGTCTTTTAAGCAGCCAGGTCTGGGAGTTGAACTGCAGAGTTGGCCATGTGGGATCGTGTGCCTTAATCTCCATGCCACTGCTGGACCCTGCTTTTCTAGGCTTTCTTTCCTTTCATTAACTTGTAGTAAGGTGTGCTAATGTCACCCGTGCAAGATAAGGACAACACCTTAGGGGATGGCAGAGCAAAGTATGGAAGGAACCTGCGTTGCTAAATGGCATTGTGGAAGAACTGCCCTGCCAACCCACATTGGCAGGACTGTCCCGAAATAAATTTAATACACTGTGTCAAGTACACTGTTTCAAGTTTGTTACGTACCTACCCTAGCTTGTAGAGCAAAACACCACAATAATGCCAGTGTAACCTGGCATAATGCAAATTTAAGATATATTCTTCCCTCTTGTCCCTGTTTTCAAACCAAGGTAGGTTAAGATTTTATGAAGGGTTGGGTTTAGGGACAGTTATTTCAAAAGGGACAGGTTATTTCAAAAGTTAGTGGAGGCACATACATAAGCTGAACATTTTTTATATTGTTTGGTGAGAACAGAAAATAGTAAAACCACTTTGGAAAACATTTTGACAGTATCTTACCAAATCAGACATTCAGCTACTCTGTGACCCAGCGAGTTCACTCCCAGGTATTTCCTAGTGCTTTGCTAGTTAAATACCAGCTTATATGAACCCATTGTTAAATTTTCATAAAGTTTGTATTTATTCAAAGGAAAGAAAAATTTATATCCACACAAAGCCCTATATAAGAATGTGTTCAAGTGGTTTTATTCATAATACCCCAGAAACAACCCAACTATCTCAATATCCAGCTATTCAAGAGAGAAATTAAAAGCTATGGTACAAATTCATTAAAAGCAAAAATACTCAAAACTCATCACTTGTACATATTTTACTACATTTTACTGTTATCTGTGCTCTCGTTATGTATATTTCATTTGTATGATGAAAATACTGTCTAATAATATACTATTGCATATCTTCTCAACCCTGCACTGAGTGAAATTATGCTGATAGTGAGAAATCGGTCATAGTGTAAGTATTTGCACAAGAGAAATTGGCAAATGTTACAAAATGGGCACTGATAGGTTTTTGGTTGATATTCTAAACTTGAGAAAGTGATGCTGCAGTGTTATCAACAAATCATTTAGAAATGTGTTATATTCAAAAATGCAAAATGTAAAACTTGTAGGAAAGATCTCAGGAGAAAATCTTTTTTTTTTTTTTTTTTGGAGAGGTTTTTATTATAGGGCGCTGGGGCTCGCCAGCCAGACAGAGAGAGACAGAGAGACAGAAAGCAGGAAATCACCCCCCAGGGGGAGTGGCCACGCCGCAATCCCTTCTCTTGGGATCTTAAGCATGCATATACATGCGCCTGGCGTGAGTTTAAGTCACTG